TCAATCCTGAGCTTACAGCAAGTTTAACTTCTAAAAACAGCTCAAATCAACTGTTTCATCAGATGCTAATCCTCAATGTGCATCAGTTCTGTCAAAATCATTTATAATAGTTTTGCTTTATATTTGACACTGAGTTTCAGGGGTCTGTCGGTAAACGAAGACAAACACACAACACACAGCACACACACACACACCTGCTATTGAACACTCAAGGCCAGAATAAGCTCAACGGAGGAGCCATAATTAACAACATTATCACTCAGAGAGAAAGAGGGCTTTACTGTGAGTTCAGACCGCAGTGTGCATGTGCGTGTGTGTGTGTGTGTGTGTGTGTGTGTGTGTGTGTGTGTGTGTGTGTGTGTGTGTGTGTGCCCCAGTTGGCTCGTCCATCTGTTGTTGATTTGACCAGACTGAATGGTCTAGCGTGGCAAACCCAGACGGGAAGAGCTCAAGACGGGTTACTGGTGCCCAGACGCTTTAGATCAGGATTAATCCAGGTTTACCACCTCCACACACACACACACACATCTAAAATAGCACTAACCAGGTGGAAAAGCAACATCGCATTGATGTTTAATACACACTTATGTTTAGCTAAAGAAAACAGTCTCGCTGTATTGACGATCTCTCAAGAGTTAAAATGGAAGGAATCGCATAAAATTGCTTGATGACGTTGTGCCTGAAGTTACGAATGACTAACTAAACTCTTATTTTAAATGATCCAGACAAAACAGCAGAGTAATGAAGTACATTTACGTTTTTTTTTACAACTTTTTGCATTTACTTTTACAGTACTGTATTTAAGTACACTTTGAGTATGTTTCTGGGAACGTATGACTTTAACTTCACTGCATTTCAATGACAAATTTCGCACTTTCCGCTCTTTTAAATTTCTATCAAGGACTTTGAAAGTCGTTTCTATGCAACAGCTTTGAAAGTCAGCGGTTGTTTCTGTCAGTGATTTTGTTTCTTCTCTAAAACGTGATTTGAGTTCAGACAGCCTCTCAGTAATCACTCTGGTAGGGTCACGTGAAGTTCACTGATTTCCCAGCGTTTTCAACACTGATCAGTTGATGGCAAAATGGAAGACGACGTTTCCTCATAACTGTGAAAGTATGTTTCTGTCTTTATAACTTTCACTTGTAACCACTTCTGTCCTGATATCTTAGAGGGGAGGGTCTGTGGGCGGGTAAATGTTTGTGTTTTTTCAGATCTTTAGATATAATGCTCAAAATAAGCTCATGATGGAAAAACGCACGGAGAGCATCAGCTTTAGTTTCTGCTCTTTTTATTTTCCATTCCATTTAAATGTGTCTAAACGCTACAAACAGAAGAACCTGAAAGTAACAAAAGTGAAAGACGTTGTGTGATAAGAGCACTTCAGTGCCTGACTGTCACACACACATCACATAAAGCTGCTGGATATTTCATTCACATCTTCAGTCCGTCTCTCAGGGATGGACAGAGCCTGTCCTCCATTTCACATCTCAGTGAATCCATCATGTGATGCTCCAGTGAGTCCTTACACTCCTGCAAGCCTCTAACACACTCACACACAACACGATGACTTCTGAGCTCATCATACACACACCTGATGCATACTACACACTCACACCACAAAACAGCTAAAATAGGTCATGTTGCCAAACTACCATTTACTTTTGAAGACTTCAGATAATTCGCACAGCTCCTCAAGCATCTAAAAACACCAACAAAAGACCTAAAAAATGAGAATAACACAAGCACAAGTGATTCATCCAGTGGAGAACGCAATACAGATAGTGCTCTATTGAAATAGTCCTCCATTGGCCGGTGCCGAGAATTCAAATATCGGCCAATATATCGTGAAAACATGCAAATTATACGTCAACATCAGTGGTTGATGTCTTAGGTCTGAAACCACTTTCCACAGCGCATCAATGCCTGAATCAGAACAACAGAAACTATCAACTATAAACAATGCATGAAAACCACAGCGCAACAATCCTCTCCAAATCCTGAACACATCTAGACTGTTTCAAACACTCGGCTATTCGTAGTTAACGAACAGTTACAAACAGTCCCACTGAATACACTGAAAAATAACATGAAAATTAAGCAATTTTCTTTTACTTTGGAATAATTTGCACCAATAAATCATTCACAATATGACCTGGAACATGCATTGAGATGTACGAAACAGGGCCAGTTTTGATTCGGTTAATGGTTTCCATTTCTTTTAACCCAAAAACTTTTCAAAACACCAAGAGTTGCATCATAAACGACTTCAAACTCCCTTCTTGCGTTCCACACTGTGTTAAGTGAACAAAGAGATCAATAAACAATCAAATAGAGCTGCACGCCTCGCCTCGTACCTTCTTCATCCGTCCGTTGCGCGTTCCTGCGAAGACCACCGTGTTCCCGCGGTAATCGTACGCAGCGACTGAAGTCATTCCGTCATCTTTGTCGATGAAGAGGGGAATGCCCTCGATGGTGCTGGTGCCCCCTAGAGGCTGGTTAAAATCCTGCCCGCAGAAGTTATCATCGATCTGGAGAGGCTGGAACAGAGGAATAGAGAGAGAGTTAGAGAGAGAGACTCCGGCAAAAGGTCAATGACTGGGTGAGGGTGGGTTTCCTAAAAACAGTTTCAGTGGAAGTTACACACACACACAGACACTCACTCTCACACACACAAACACTCACTCTCTCTCTCACACACACACACACACACTCACTCTCGCGCACAGTCTCACACTTGCGCACACTCACACACACACACACACTCTCACAGCAGTAAGGTCATTCATTACATGGATGCCAAAACGGGAAAGCAAGGTCACTGTATTGCAGGAAAACCTGGAAAGGTGACGTAAGGACACGAAAGTTAGTGAGTGAGAAAAGGCCAATACATATATACAATACTTATAAAACCAATGCACTGCTCCTGTTATTTTCCAACAGAGAGAGAGAGAGAGAGAGAGAGCGAGAGAGAGAGTGAGAGCGAGAGAGAGAGTGATAGAGAGAGAGAGTGAGAGAGTGATAGAGAGAGCGAGAGAGAGAGCGAGATAGAGAGTGAGAGAGAGTGATAGAGGAGAATAGGTCAGAGAATTACCTGACCTATTGGACTCAATCAACAGAAAAACAAAGCAAACTAGAATGTTATTTGGCCCTAAATAGAGACTACACCACGGCAGAATACCTGAGTACAGTGAAAGACTGTACACTAAGAAGAAGGATGACGAGGTACAGACTGAGCAATCACACTCTGACTGTAGAGACGGGCCGACACCGACAGAACTGGCGGCCCAGAGAGAGACGCGTCTGCCCGTACTGTGACCAGGGAGAAGTGGAGACCGAGCAACACTTCCTCACCCGCTGCCCCAACTATGAGGACATTAGAGGGACTTTTTATACAAAATTTGAAATACTTTGCCCTAACTTCCTACAATTAGACAACAAAACACAATTTCAACACCTATTAGGTGAAAAAACAGATTGTATCATATTAGCAGCAAGATACATTGATGCTTGTCACAAAAAGAGAGAGTCGACGACTAATCAGTGATGCGCCCACACACACATACACACACACACACACTGAATTCTAAATTGTTCAGAGAATTTTTGAAATGTTCATAAACTGTTCTAATTATTATTATTATTTATGTATTTATTTTTATTTGGTACACTGTTAATTTGTACAATTACTTTAATTTGTACATTTAGATTTAAGTCATATTATAATATTTTATTATTTTGATGTCTTTATGTATTCCAAGCTTTGGCAATATTGTATTGTGTACAGTCATGCCAATAAAGCAATTTTGAATTGAATTGATAGAGAGAGAGAGAGAGAGAGAGAGAGAGAGAGAGAGAGAGAGAGAGAGAGAGAGAGAGAGAGAGAGAGAGAGAGAGAGAGAGAGATGCTGTCTGAACATTATGTCTCTGCGTCCACAGAACTCCAATGAAAGCACTGATAATTCCACCGAATGTGAATTTCATCCATCAGTCCTTCCAGAAAAACGCGGAGTTTTTTTTTTGTGATTGTTGCGGGCAAAAATCCTTGATTACGCGGCCCGTTTTCTTTAAAAATGCGATGGAATATGCGGGATATTTATGCAATTTTTTGCGATGAAATTGCGGGAACTTGCAAAAACTGCGGTTTGATGAAAAAGAGGGAAAAAAAAGTGATCCCCCCAACACCCTGTTCTCACTAGGCTACTACCTTAATGTAAAGAGTCCTTTCTTATTACTTCCTATGATAATAAGCAAACATACTACATCACAGAAAGTTCTGGAAATATTTAATTTCTCATCTTGTTTTATTTCAGACTGTATCGAGTGGAAATAAGGTGTGGCCCCTTTAAGAGTTGCGCGCTCCCTGTCTAACTGTCTGCAGTATTATATTGTATGTGCCATGCGCCTCGAACATAACCTGACTCCGCCAGATGGATTTGCTCCGCATATCCATCTGGAAACCTTCCGTTGAAGTAGTTTTGGTAAGGGGCGAAAATACTGGTTAGCTGATTGGCCTATGTTGGTGATAGACGGGCCAAATCAACCAATCAGATCAACGAAGCATATGACGTACTAACAGAGCGTATCTTTTCCTCTGAGAAAAGCCTCCAGAGCAGTGGCGGCTCCAGACAATTTTGATTGGGGGGGCAATGGGGGGTCCTGGTCATTTCAAGGGGGGTCTCATGAAAACCAACAAAAAATACAGTGGACACGGCTAATAACTGCATACTGCTGCTACTTAAAGGTTCTCTAAGCGATCCTGGGTGACGTCACTTCTTGTTGACGTTCGAACTATTGTCAAACAAAACGGAGGCTAGCTAGACCCTCCCTCCTCCTCATCCGCACACTAACCCCCCAAACCACACCCCCAAACCCTTCTTGTCGGTCATTGGCTGGAACAGTTTGTTATGTTTTGGGGAGCGGGTCGCTGCAGTTTGTTTTTGGTGCTGTTTGTGAAGCATGGGCTGTCTACAGAGATCGCGTTTCTTTACAGTGTGTTCAGGGGACAGGCAGCCAGCGGATAGTGAGGAGATGTTTGCTGTATGTGACAAAAAATGTTTTGGCCTAAAAAACACATGACATCGCTTAGAGCACCTTTAACAAATGGTAAATGGTAAATGGACTGCATTTATATAGCGCTTTCACAGACCCAATGGCCACCAAAGCGCTTTACATATTGCCTCACATTCACCCATTCACACACCGACGGTTTTTTGTTTTTAATTAATTAATCAATTGCAGTTTGCAAACAATATGCTCGAACTTTAATTGCCATAGCCACACCCATGACAGAAAACATATTTACAAAATAGTATCCTCCTCATCCTCCAATTCCTCGGTGTCCTCTGTTTCCAGTCTTTACTAAGAAATCCTATGAAAAATTATTTACAAAATCTTCTGCAGGACAGTTCAATTCTTTACAATAATATAATATATTATAAAAGAAAATTAAGCTGTTACACTGAGATGGTTTAGGAAAACCATAAAGTGTTTTTGTAAAGTCAATTAATTGTACAGGCAGCATTAAACCATCAAAGTTAAATGATTGTTTATAGCTTATGAATTTCCTAGCCTATATTTTCTTTAGCAGGGGGTTTCAAACTTTTTAATGGCAATGAGCCCTAAACAATACCCTTGTGAGATTCTTTATTTAGGCTTATAATATAATACAATATATGCCCAATATAATATAATATAAAAAAAAATGAATTGAAGTATTTGAAGTGATAGTTTAAATGCTTCAATTTGTTTTCATATAATATTATTATAATATGAAAAAAAACTGAAGCATTTACTGTAAATAGCTAGATCTAATGGCTAAATATTTTCAAGAAAAGTAAATATGTGAACTCTTTTATAGTAGCCTAATCTAACCATGCCTGAAACTATTTAAATCTATGTAAACTAATGATGTATTTTGAGTTTGCACGCGGGTGGGTGTCTGTAATTGTTACCGTTCTGTGTCCATCATCCGTTATTTCCACCACTTTAATCAAACCACTCTTCTTTAAAACATGATATTGTGATTTTATTTCACATGTCTTTGCGTTTCTCGTCGCCTCTCGTATTGAGCTATTTGGTCCGCACACACGACTCACTGCCAATCACACGCGCTCACATCATTCTCTTTCTTTGAAACCTGTTAACTGCACTCACCAGTTTGAGCACTGCAATTATTTCTCACATACAATCAAATGGATTTCCCCACACATTTCGCGTCAGTCCTCCGCGTGGCATAATAGGGACTTTAAGCAACAGCCTCTGGTGGAACGGCAACGGCATTCTGTCGTTCTATTGCGCATGCGCGACATTAACTGCTACTTCCCGACGTTCTACTGTAACCGTCTACAACGGGAGAACAGCTGATTTGCCGTAGTCGTTACTACGTGACAGATTAAGAAAGTTAATGTTATGTTTTAGGTTATGTGGCATTATAATCGTTTTAAATGCCCAAATCAACCCTTCTCTTACTTTTTAAAATCTGTTTATTTTTTGTATTTTGTCTGATGATTAAATTATCCCCTATGCCGTCCTCTTTACTGTTGCTTAGTGATTTTTGCGCTCTTTAGCTACGGCAGTTAACGTTTACTTCCGGCTGTCGTTGCCGTTCTATCAGCAGCTGTTGCTTAAAGTCCCTATTATTCTTTTCTGCGCGGCCGCGGCATCAGAAGTGCACGACCGCGCACGCGCGCAGCTTAGAGGGAACGTGATTCTTATGTTTATATATTTTGTACGTCGAATAAATTATTAATTATTATTGTTCTGCGTAGTTTGAAGATAAACATTTTTAAATATTTATCCCGGATATATATTTTTTTAATCAGGAAGGGGGTGGGGGGTCAAATGGGGGGTCAAAGCATTTTTTGGGAGGGTCTTGAGACCCCCCAAGACCCCCCCTGGCGCCGCCTCTGCTCCAGAGCAGTGTTTTGCTCTTCTTTCAGTGAAGAAATACTCTGTAATTCCGATGAAACTTGCTCGATAGCCACGCTGATGCTAGTTTCATCCGCTGAAGCCGACATGCTCTTTAGACTGAACTGACGCGCTTCTCGTTGCGTCACACCTCAACCCGCCTCAAAGCCAACGCTGATTGGACGTTCGTTTGGTGAACTGCTCCCAAATTTTCTTTAAAGGAACACTCCGACTTTTTGGGACTTTAGCCTATTCACCTTATCCCCCAGAGTTAGATAAGTCCATACATACCTTTTTCATCTCCGTGCGTGCTATAAGGCTGTTTGACGCACCCACCGCTAGCCTAGCTTAGCACAAAGACTGGATGTAAATGGTTGCAGCTAGCATACTAATCCAAATAAGTGACAAAATAACGCAAACATGTTTCTATTTACATGTTGTGATTTGTATAGTCACAGAGTGTACAAAAAAACAAAGTCACATGAGACACAGACATATTTTAACCGTATAAATACTGGGAACTATATTCTCTGAAGGCGACTATATTCTCTGAAGGCGAAGCACTGCTACTTGGGCGGAGTGATAGCCGCAGCACCTGAGACGCGCTCTCTGCTCCTCACCACGGCGCGTCAGGTGCTGCGGTTATCACTCCGCCCAAGTAGCAGTGCTTCGCCTTCAGAGAATATAGTTCCCAGTATTTATACGGTTAAAATATGTCTGTGTCTCATGTGACTTTGTTTTTTGTACACTCTGTGACTATACAAATCACAACATGTAAATAGGAAAATGTTTGCGCTATTTTGTCACTTATTTGGATTAGTATGCTAGCTGCAACCATTTACATCCAGTCTTTGTGCTAAGCTAGGCTAGCGGTGGGTGCGTCAAACGGGACGGGATGAAAAAGGTATGTATGGACTTATCTAACTCTGGGGGATAAGGTGAATAGGCTAAAGTTTCAAAAAGTCGGAGTGTTCCTTTAACGGAAAGTATCCAGACTGATCTGCGAGTGAAACCTTGAAAGCTCGCGAGATCAGGATGGTCTCACGAGGCTACCTCGAACACCCCATGTGTGCGGGTAATTTCTGTTTGATGCTACTTCTTTTATCTTTGGTTTATTAAGTAACGCCGTGGACGGTAGAACGTGTGACAGACAAAGTAATTACTTCACTTCATAACGTTCCCATGGCAAGAGGGGGAAACGGCTGGTCTTGTGTGAAGCAAACGCAACATTTTCCAACTTTCTGCTAAGATATATGTGACTTTTGCGACGAAAATGTGGGGATTATGAAATCATGCAGGCGGCCCCGCATATTTTGCGCGGAAATCAGCAATTTATGCGGCGAAATTGCGGAGTATTTGAAAAAAGGCGACCCCCGCATAAATATGCGGACTTTGGCTGATTTTGCATTGAATTCAGCGATCGCATAATCGCGTTTTTCTGGAGGGACTGATCCATTCACAAAATTCCACACATTTTCCAACCCATATTTAAAAAAAACGTTTGAATAAAAGGTTAAATATATGTGGCTAACTTGCCATACTTCACAGCTGTAGACTTTAACAATTATTCAAATTACATGTTCTTTTAGGGTTAAGAGTTTAGGTTAGACTTTGCTTTATAAATAAACAATAGTCTTTGGTATGAGCTCATTCAGAAAGCTAAGTGTGTGTGTGTGTGTCCTCTAAAGCTGCCCAGGCACACATCAATAACCTTTCTTTCTTTCTCTCTGTCTTTTCTCTCTTCACCTCCCCTTTTCTCTTTGTTTTTCTTTCTGTCTTAATCCATCCAGAAGAGTCTCTACCTCACAGCAGGAAGAAAGGAAACAGAAGAAAAGAAGAGGAAGATGGGCATCAATTCACTTAGCAAACTCACTCTTTCTCCTCTGAGCTAAAAACCTGATGTCAAGCAGTCAGACACACACACACACACAAAGCCTGGCTGGAGGATTTATAGCGTTTGGAAACATCAAAAGTAATTTAATTCACCATATTTATTCCATCATGAGCTGAGCTTATTTAAATATCAGTCTTGTGTTGTCAGACTTTTAACTATTAGCATAAAGGCAAATCCCTGTGAAAACCCCAGAACACAAAAAATTATGGAAATTGGTATTGGATAGATTTTTACCAAGTTTGATGCAATGCATTATGGGACTGTCTTCTCTAAAGAGATGCTCTACCATACCAAATGTTTGCAGTTTGTAGGATTTATTTTATGTTTTTGAAAGAAGTGTCTTCTGCTCACCAAGGTTTATTTATTTGATCAAAAATACAGTAAAGGCTGTAATAGTATGAACTATTACAATTTAAAATCAGCTGTTTTCTATGTGAATATATGATAAACTGTGATCTACCATGTGATCAAAGCTGAATTCTCAGCATCATTACTCCAGTCTTCACGACTCTTCAGTGTCACATGATCCTTCAGAAATCACTCTAACATGATGATTTGATGCTGAAGAATCATTTATGATTATTATCAATGTTGAAAACGGTTGCGCTGCTTCATATTTCAGTGGAAACCGTGATTCTATTTATCAAAGAATCCTTTTTTAAATGTATTTTTTTAAATAGTAATATTTTATAGCATTATAAATGCCTTTACTGTCATTCATTTAATGTGTTCTTGCTGAATTATTTCTTCTTCAACAACAACAACACATCTTACTGACTCTAAACTTCTGAATGGTAATGTATGTGATGCATCTCAGGTGTTCATGACACAAAGACTGAAACAGAGCTCGAGTCCCACTGCTATTTCACACTCGATTGATGCTGATGTGATGCAGTTTTCTCTCAATCCTCATGGGTCACGCAGAGAAGATGAGCATTACATTCACTCAGAAGTGTGTGTGCTGAAGTAATTACATTCTCTCTCACACACAAACACACATTCACACTTTACTATTGAGGTGAAAACTAATGCAGGACTAAACAGGTTGCAGAAAGACAAACCAAAAAAACACACACACAAACATAACTCCACGACAATAGGTGTGTGTGTGTGTGTGTGTGTGTGTTTCAGACTGCTGATTATGTGTCTGCCCAGGGCAGAGGCGAAACCAAACACAACACACCACATTCCAGAGAGCGAGAGAGACACATGTGACTATGTAAACTACGTTCTAACAATTTCATGCGTTAAACGAGTTATTAAACACACTCCCCTGATCTGATCAGTGTGAATTATTCAAGCAGCACCAGATTTTCAACATTCTGTTCTGATGAGATTTAAACAGCTGATTTCTGTGTTTCTGTGAGTAAGAATACACAGGTGTTTCTGTCAGACGTACGGCAGTAAATAGGTTAATAAGCAGTGTACTTAATCTCTGACGTCAAGTAGGATGCCAACAACAACAATAAAGAATTAATGTTACGTCGTTGAATTTTTGTGCGTTGTGGTTTCAAAAACCGTAATACATTTTTTATCTGATAGATTATATAAAATAAAATAAAAACATTTATTTGGAGAAACAATATTTTTAAACATTAAAAAAAATATATATACCATGGAGTGCACCAAAGATAAGCAGAAACTTTGATTTCCATTTAGATGGCAATTTTTTTCTTTTTTTTTTCTTAGTTATTATAAAGTAGCATAACCCCTGAGTTTAAATTTAAATTGTTAGAGTCATAAGAAATGCTCCAAAAAACACCCTATACACATTTTGGATGCAGGTTTAAGTGCTTCAAATTAAACTTTTGGACTCACTCGGCAATAATTATTTGTCATATGAGCCTCCATTTAAAAAAATTGTTTAACTCCCTGATCAACATCACTAATTGACTAGTTAGTTGTTGGATGACTAGTCAACCATATTGGATGTTCCCTAATGGTTTCACACTGAAATTTGGGGTCAGTTGTGTAAAGGCCATGAATAAAAATAAGATAGGCTAAAAATACATTAAGTCAGTGGTAAGCACAGTGTGAAGACCCTATTAGAATTTATTTTGACTCTATAAGTCTTGAAAGTGTAAAAAAAATAATAATAACTTGAGTTTTGAGAGAGTTTCAAGAGAGCCTTAAACGGTTTCTAGTGTTGAAGTATTTAGACGTCAAACGTACAGCCACTCTGCATCAGTTTTGCTTCCCAAAAACTTCTTTCATTCTCTATTAATCCACCCGCTTAGAGCTCTGCAGATAGACTTTAAATATAAAGAAAGGGAAAAAGATCAAACCGATTTGGAACGAGTCAGAAAAATAAAAATGGGGATCTTTATCTCTGAGTGCTTGGTTAAATGAAAGCCATTCTTTGCCATTGAAAGCCCCAAGAAAGACAGAGCGAGTGAGACGAACAGAGACGAATGAGGAGAGAGAGATTAAGAGCGAGCGAACGAGAGGACGAAAAGCAAGCCCTGGTCCCAGAGGACTGTGATGGCAGAGAAGATGGGATCAAGCCTCGCTAAATGAATTAGAAAGCATGAGCGAGAGAGCAACTCATGAAATTTACTCAACTCCACTAATGATGTTCCTGTCTGACTGAATAATGGAAGCACTTGGGAGAAAGACAGCAAGAGAGAACGGACGCAAAAGGAAACAGGAGGTGGGTGACAGGAAGAGTGCTTGCGATATTTATATTCTACAACGTTTTAATGAAGTTAGACACAAGCTAATAGTGTAGTCGAGGTACTTGACAATAGTTGCACTGTAGTCTTATCCAGTGTCGTCCTTAAATTTGGCATCCCCCAGCCCAATAAATAGACTCTACTAAACAGCAGTGTTTCTCAACTCCAGTCCCACTAACCTCACAGAATGTTTTAGATGCCTCCATATTCAACACACTAGGGGCCAGATTTACTAAGAGCTTGTGCCAGCGCAAACCCTCTTTTAACGTTAAAAAAGTACTGTCAGGATTTACTAAAGACACACTATGAAAAATTAACGTTGAAAAGGCATGGAGACAGTTATTTTTGCGGCTTACCTTATTGCATATGTATTTGTAGGAGTTTCCCTTTCAGGCACAACATTTATGGGAGGAGAGTATTTAAATGAATCACGTAAGGTGATTTACTAAGGTTTGCGCTCATCAATGTACTGGTGTTAATGCTATTTTAACCCACCCCAAAAAAGCATGTCTTAAACCAGACGCTACCTGGTATTGCGTTGGTTATTTTAGAAATGATCGGACTGCGTCTGTGTTCTTTAATTTGCACGTTGTCAGTAGATCACGTGTAGAACCCATCGGCGCTGTTTTGGAATTGCGCTCACGCTAATTTGCCCTGTTTAGTAAATCTGAATCTGAATATGATGAGTTAAATCAGGTAGTAAGACATCTAAAACATTCTAGTAGGTGGGTCTCTAAGACTGGAGTTGAGAAACACTGCTATAGAGGACTTTACTAGGCCACTCCTCAAAGTTCCCAGTTGTCCTACCCAGACAACCCTAGTCTGATCTACAATTTCTCCCCTCATATCTAATCACAATCACCCTTTGCACCAAGATAATCGAGGCTGAACTCTAGCAGAGGACATTACTGAAGCACACTCATTCATCCAACCCAACAAATCAATCGTCATAGCCATGCAGTGTGTCTTAATGGCCTGCCATCAGAAGCTTACCGAGTTGATGCATGGTAGCTCCTTGTTGAGAAGCCAGGGCAAAGACAGCCTGCCCTCTCCTCTATAGCACGATTGAATCCTTTCCTTGATCTTCTCCTTTATTTTGGTTAGCGTGAACAGGCAGAGTGCTGACTCTTTTGGGGGTTTGGCTCGGTTCTTCTGGCCTTGGGAGAAGACTGTAAACAATATGTCCTCTTGCTCAGACACTCCCAAAGAGTTGGCAAGTTGCCTTCCGGGTTTGCTCAAGTAGGCGTCCTGAATCAGTCGATACTCTACGCCATCTTTGGTGCATCCAATTGGGAACTCCACGTAGGAATAGAACCTGGGATCATCGATACAGAGTCGGACGATCTTAGAAGTGAAGAACTGTTCCCCGCTGGCATCAGGAGAAGTTAGTTGGGTATCCAGCTGCAAGGTCAAGTAGTAGACAAACTGCTCACTGCTAAAGCTGTATATGTAGTAGATGTCAAACGCCGGGAATTTGGACAGTGTATCCGAGGGGATCTTCAGCTGCGACGAGACAAACTCGTCCTGGTGGACAAAGCTGAACATGTCAGCATCCTCTTCATTGGCCATCAACTTACGGCTGGAAAGTGTTGGGAAGTACTCCGATTTCCCATCGATGGGCGTCCCAATGAAAAGCTTGCTGACATGACCCTCAGAGATGATGACGCCGGACATGGTTCCCGACTCAACGACGCTGGAGAGGTAGTGTTCCTTACGGTGTTGTGGCTCGCCAAGCTTGAAAAGGTTATCCAGGCGCAGAAACTGACAGATGCCTTGCGAGGTGCTTCCACAAGCAATGAGTCTGTTTTGGGGATAGTCTATTAGCAGCAGTTTGTTCACATTACTATTTGGGGAAAGGTCATGGGGGCATAACTGTACACTCGGAGGTGGATAGCATTTCTCGTTGTCCACTACCGGACCCGTCTCATGACTCCTCAACTTGGTCAAGTTGCTAGAGAGCTTGTAGATCCAGTTTACCGCGCCAACATAAACATCTCCTGTCTTGTTATGGATGGCTAAATGCGTCAGACCCCAGTCAGGGGGCAAGAAGGACTTAAATGGCTCCGGTGCTCCTCCAGAAAGGTGGGGGGAAATGCAGATTGTCAGCAGCCCAAGGAGCATTACAGTCCTTGGGCTAATAATGCATTGCGGCCCCTGCTGAGGCCACATATTTGCGCTGGTCCTCACAAGTGAAAGATGTGGTGGTCCACGCTATTAGTCTTCAATTTGGGACTTTTAAACGAACTCAACAAATAAGAAAGGAAGGCAGGACAAGCCTTATCGATTCAATGCTTCCTTGCCTTCTCACACAACAGTCATCCACTCCAACATCAACCTCAATTCCTCGTCCTGGGCTCCTGCAGGGCAAAAAAAAAAACACATTATGAGTGCAAATGTAACACATCTGATTCATTATGCATCATTTCTCAAAGTCAAACAGTGAGGAAAGAGTCAATACAATATCTTTCAGTTTGCAACCAATCATTTAGAACTATGTGGTCGAATGAGGCGAACCGTGTCAACTTTTAATTACTAAGACTGATAGCTCTGAGGGTGAAGATGGATTAGAGATGTACTGTAAACAAACTCAACACCACAGCTGCAGAGTTGGACCTGCTTCAGTACTGGCACAAGACATCCATCATCACAAAGTGTCTGACAGCAGCTTTGTGTAGATCAAGTATGCAAGCATATAACACCTTTAAAGGGGCCCCGAACAACAAACAAGTCTAAGTAAGTCTTTGAGGTCTGAGATGCTTGAAGTTGTTCTGAGCTTTACAAGGGCAAGAAAATTACTTTGTCCTGTTTCAAGTCAACATGAAATGATTTATACAGGTTTTTCTATTCTAATTCACAGCCCTGGCCCCTGAGAACACACATTTCAGTATAAAAACAATTAGAGTTCCACAATGCGTTATGATGATTCATATATGCATAATAACGATTATATCTGTCAACCATGATTATATGATCCAAAATTCTTTCAGAATGGTGACCGACCATTGAGTAAAATGTGGTAAACTGCACTCAAATATGATATACAGCAATTATTTGTTGTAACTAGGCCCTACGTTTAGATCAGAGCTCCTCAAATCCAGCTCTGGAGAGTCACTGCCCAGTGTTTAGATAGAACGAAGACACCTGAACAAGCTAATTAAGGCCTTCAGAGTCACTAGAAAATTACAGGAAAGTGTGTTTGATCAGGGTTTGAGCTAAACTCTGCAGGGCAGTATCTTCAAATCCAGCCCTGGTTTAGATGTTGCCATTTAAGTCGACTCAACAGATCAACAAACCCAGGACTGATATCACAGTGAATAAAGATTTGCACTGGTAACTCAAAAGGGTGGCCACTGGCCAACCATGAAACCACGGGTTACTCCAGAGAAACTACACCTGTAGTTGTTACGGATAAAAGCATTAGATAAAAAATTACTACCCAATTAATTGTTAGGAAAACCAATTTCAATTGTGCTGGTGACAGAAAATAAAACCAAACAAACAAATCTGAGTTCACCACCATTTCCACTGGAAAAAATGAGACTACAGAACTACAAAAACAGGAAAATCTCAGCAACAGGAGAAAGCCGGAGGCAAGTGAAAACTGTGAATGATAAGGAAATAAAAAAGGAGATAGTGCAGAGGGAAAATAGGAGGAATGGTTTCCTTTCTCTATCCTTTTCTTTGCCCATGTCTTATCTCCATTGCCTTTTTCCTTTTTGCGGTGAACTGAGGCTCTTCTTATCTGTCCATCATTCCCCAAGGACGAGATGATGGGAAGTGGCGTCATTCCACAGATCTCCAGAAACATGCGCAAAAATGGACCAGAGAAAGGAAATTATTCCTCTGTCTATCAGCAGGGGACCAACCAACCAAAACTCGAACTCAAACTGAATTTCAGAGATGAGCTACTATCATATTTATTACAGGAAATTTAAATTACTTTGTTATTTTTCCATATAATTAGTAACCATAGCATTAACCAGTGTAACCGAAAATGGTTCCTACAACCATTTTTAATACTGTAAACCAATAGTAAATCAATATAGCTCTCCTTCAAACAGCATAAAGAAGCTTTCAGAATCTGTTAGTTTTTATTTTTATGATAGTAGTGGCTAATAGCTAGTGATTATTTTATAACTCTATTCATATATTTTATAGGAAGCCATAAAACATAGAGCCAGTTGGCTCTTTAACCCTAACAAAAATGTATCCTACTACCATGTTTTTGGACATGTGCCATAGTAGCATTGTGTATTTTTTGAAGTACCACAATATGGTAACCATTCAGTACTATGCAATTTCCATAACTTTACTATGGTACCACAACTGTACTGTAAGGAAAGTCATAAGATGTCTCTGAGTTACAGTGTGTGCACTTGCGTGCAAACCAGAGCAAAAGAAAAATAGAAAGAGGCAGAAACCTGTACTAGATTCCCAAACCTCATTTCTCCTCATTTGAGCGCATCGGTCGTGACAGAGTCAACCGTAAATATCAAACCAAATTGCATCTGCTCATATTTCTATCTGGCAATGGAATGGTTAAAACCGTCTACACAGAAGTATTTGCAATGAGTCGAAGTCTAAGAATGAAAGGGAATGAACATGAAACTACTGTATAGGCTAAATGATAAAGAATATAAGCCAGAATGCCTCAGAAAGCACCAACATCTTAAGAGAATTATCAATCTCATCAAGAGATAAAAGAAATTCTTGCCAAACATCCCTGAATGCTTTCTTTCATCTTGTGTTCTCATCTTCCACTTTTAGATTCGCCAATTTCCCATGAGTACCTGCACTTCAGACGATCAGTGAGCGCTTAAATGACGCCAATCAATAAATCTGCAAGTGCCTGAATCAGCCGCTGAATTTTTATCTGTCAGGTGCATAGTGCTGTTATCATAGATGTCCTTGTTTGTATCACAGATCTCAGCCTAGCTCAATATTATCAGTGGCATCAGTGTCAGTCAAATGAGCCGTTCGCACACATCCTACCTGAAAACCGCAGACTATTGAGCAAACATTACAATCCTAGAACCTGTATGTACTGGCACATCTACCACAAGATTTATTTATGTACATGATATGCAGAAACTTTTTAAATGTTTTATTTAATTAACATAACAAAAATTAAATTAACAACACCACCATGGAAATGCAATGCAATGCACAAATGTCTTTGCAGTGCAATGCAAAAAAAAAAAAAATGGTACTGTAAGCAACATATAAAATGTCTTTTTTAGTTTTTTTGCTTTGGGCAAAAAGACGTTCCTGGTGAGATCCACCGGCCACACACAAACACTGGAGCACATTTCAGCATAAGGAACATGAGACAGAGTTAATATGGAAGTCAATTCATTCTCCATTTTTCCCACAGCTGCCCGAGGACACGTTATTCAGCGAGTCGTCTCGCAACCCTTCTGCTTTAGAAAACAGAGCATAAATTCACGTACACACACTGCGGACAGACCTCTAAACCCGTCTCCTCAGATAATGGCGAGCGGTTGCAGGCGGACGGCTGATTTATTACTTGTGGCATATCAATTACAGAACTCGCCTCTCAGATCTGGAGCGAGAATACACACAGAATACACTCCGGAAAAGACGAGATGCGGCTCACGTGTTTAAAACACACACAGAAGCAATATACTCACATAAACAAGTAGTCTCAGGTGGGGAAAAGCAGACACAAACTATCAGAAACTTATAGAAAAGAAGAAGAAAGTACTATACAATAAGAATTTTGTGCACAATGTGCACATCTGAATTATGTTATGTGTTTGCCAGAACAGAGCAAACCGTGGATCCTGAATCCCACAATGCAATGTGCTTAACATGACTTTCCATTTGCAGTGTGACGAACTAACCGGACAGCACGTGCGGCTTTAAACAACTAAGTTTAAAGTTTAAAAACCACAGTTAAAAAGGCTTATTACTGCATACAGGATGACATGTTTTTAGTGTATAATATTTGGGTGATTCTTCACTTTCAGCTGCTTGAATAATGACATTTGTGGTGATTTAAACTCGGAGCGATGGAGGATGGGAAGGCGAACACGAGTTCACAGGAAGTGGCCAGTCAGCAATGACACGGTCATTTCACAGCTCATTATCCCATTAATTAATCATGCTAAATAAGCCTCAGAGAAACGAACTGCATGCAAAACTCTACATGTGTGTTTATCCAGCAGCACACAGATGATACAGCGTTGACCTGTGCATAATGCCAAATGTTTTTGAAACCAAAACACTTGTTAAATTTGCATTAACTGAAAAAAATATGCATTGCATGAATCGTACGCCGACTTCCATCACCCGTGAACGTGCGTCGATCGTTGCCGGAAGTCAGATATTTTCATTTATAAAGTTTTAAATATGTATATTTTTACGACAAAACCGCACGGATTACCCTCAGAAGGCCTTCGTTTATCCCCCTGGAGCCGGAATGATTACTTTTGTGAAGGATGTATGCACATTTTGGGACTTGAAGGAGGTGGACCCCATTGCTTCACATTATATCCACTGAAGGGTCTAAGACATTTTCTAAAATAACTGAAAATGTGTTCGTCTGAAACAAGATTGACATATGCATCTCGAACGGCTTGAGGGTGAGTAATGCATGTGTTAAATATCATTTTTGGCCGAACTATCCCTTTAAAATGCAAGCATGGTTAATGCAATGCATATTTTTTCATGTAGTGCAATTCAAGAAGGTTTTTAGTTTCAAAAACAGTTGCCATTATTTTACTTCTGAGAATATATCAATGCATAATCCAACAATTATGAACTGTATGCATAACATTTACCCCAAAATACCAGAGTAAAATCATAAAAAAATTAAAATGATCATCTTCAAACATCATAAGTAGATTTATAATGTAAAACTATGCGAGTATTTACAGTAGTAATACCTGAAATAAGGCAGGGGATTAAACAGATGTTGTTTACACTCGTGCCTGACCCGTCCGCCCTCGACCCCCCATAGAGGAGAAAACCCCCTCACACACACACCCACATCTCCAGATTTAAGCTTTCAGAAACAGGTTTTTGACCCGCTCGCATGTCAAGATCTCTGCACTCATGAGGCAAAACAAACAGACATCTAGACCTATAAAACCATTACTATATGATCGCATTATCTGATATAAACATCTTTGAATAAGAAAGAAACCACCCAGCAACCAAACAAAACACAGCCGCAACAAAATAGCAACATTCTGTATTAAAATTTAAATAAAAGTTGAGTTTGGCAGAGAATATATTCTGTAGTCTCATTTTATCAGATCATCTCACTGATTTTATCACTGATGTTATTCATGATAAAATATATATATATATATTTTTTTTTTATCTCAGTGGG